GGTTGACCTGATGGATAGTCCTCATCAGAGCTAAACATCCAAAGAAAATCTGAAGCTCCTATATTTAATAGTTTTTGAGCAATAACCATTTTTGTATGTCCAGATGCACCTTTTTCAGATAAAATGGGGGTCTTGGGGGGGAACTGATTGGTGGGCCTGATGGATAGAGCTTCATCAGAGCTAAAGAACAAAAGAAATCTGAAGCTCCTATGTTGAACAGTTTCTGAATTATAAGTATTTTTGCATGTCCAGACACCCCCTTTTTCAGATCAATTGGGGGTCTGGGGGGTGGGGGGCACAGATTGGTAGGCCTGATGGATAGAGCTTCATCAGAGCTAAACAACAAAAGAAATCTGAAGCTTCTATATTTAACAGTTTTTGAGTTATAAGCATTTTTGCATGTCCAGACACCCCCTCTTAGACCGCATATTTGAGGAGGGGGCTCCTTTCAATCGTAAAACCGTTGGCTGGCGCAGTGTAGGTCGGACTCTTCTACAGAGCTGCCAAATTTCATGATGATCGGTGCAGCCGTTTTTGTGCTACGGTTGACCAAAAATCACTGAAAAAAAAAAAACAGAACGAAAACAATAAGACTCCCGCTTACGCTTCGCGTGCGGGGGTCATAATTATACTGATTTAATAAAGCATATTTGTTTGTTTCAGTAGTCCTACAAAGCATGACCAAATTAATTAATTAATTAATCAATCAATTAATTAATTAATTAATTAATTAATAGTTTAATATGAGTAGTTTTTTGTGACTTTGGTAAAAATACAACAGATGGTTACATAAGAATGAGTGGAAGTACAAAGTGCCAAAAATTTGATCTAACAGCACTCATTTTGGTTTATGGTTGGAAAATCTCAAAATGAACAACTTATTGTCAAAAAGCAAAGAATAACTGCATTTTTTAAAAGTCATTTAAATAAATTCTCATTATGGTTTAATGTTGATTCCTAAACTAGCAAACCTACTAACTAGCAAAATTTTGTGAATAACAAACATCTTCCACTAGTATTGTATGATGCAAACAAGGTTGTGAACCTACAGTTTAACACCTGAGTACATTTTAAAAAGATAATTAAGCTAATTTATTAGCTTGTATTGCATCATCTATTTTAGCTGGGTGCTGATTCTCATCACTTGTAGTTTTAGGACATTTTCTACTTGTGTACTTAAATATTTATGTAGAATACAAAAGCTACTCGTATTCAATAAGAAGTCACAAAATGCATGAATATGGTCATAAACATATTTTTTTATTGACCATGAATATATTCAATACATCCTATCTCAAAATTTACCTGCATATTTTAAAATCAGATTGTTTAGGGTTTGTTGGATGTCATAATTTTTTTTGAAAAGACTTATAAGCCAGACTTTTCCTAAATGTTTTCTTTTTTATACTTATTTAATGATGAATATTAACATTGTGGTATTATTGGAACTTTAATGGACATTCGTGCCGACCGGTGTGATTGTGTGGACAGTTACAGCGAAACATGTTACTGTATCTGTTGCCAGAAACTATTTCTATGGTCACATGAACACCGGATTTGCAATTTTAGCATTCACAACATTGATGAAGTGTTTGTGGATTGACTCACATAGCAAATCTGACCACATTATAGTACTTTTTTTCTTAGAGTGATACAATGATGCTTAGTATGACAAAGTAACTTTTTGAAACGGTCTGCATCACCAAAGTGTACATGGAACCTGAAGGAGCGTAGAGCTAACCATTAGGACTGACTGCTGACACAAATTTTACTATTAGCAAGTCTCACTAAATCAATTAGGCTTATTGGTTGCAGTAACGATCAATTTGTGCCACTGAACACTGAAAAGCCTTTTCCTGATGATTTTGCAGCTTAACAGCTACATCGGGGTGTGAGTGTGAAGAAAAATTCGTCGGATGGAATGTGCATGATCACCACACTGATATATTTTTCTGGTGGTATGTTGTTGACAAGTTGAGACAAACAACTGGTCTAGTCACTGATATAGAGAGACGGAGTCACATGCTGTCAGCCCCATTGTGGAGCCTGCAGACCACAAGAAGATGTTTTTGCATGCCCACAATGAACCCACAGCGTAGATAAATCACACCCCAAGTCTGTAATGTTTTTTTAAAGTTCATTCGTTTTACCTTTTTAATAGGAACATGGGAGGAATACAGCCTGGAGAGAACAAACAACAGTTTTCCTTTTGCCAAACAGTTTTTGTTCTGGATTATTTTATGTCACACTTTAAGATAGATCTAGAGCAAAAATGATGTTCAGTTGGACAAAATGTAAGGCCTATTTTGGAATTTTGAACTTAAAGCAGTACTATTGTTTGACCATGGCACTGCTTTGACCCTGAATTATGACTTTAAACATATCAGGTTGGATATGTGGCGCCAAGTGTAAAATAAAAAGTTAAAAAAGATCACTAGCACATTTTTATTATTGAGCTCACTTTCTGAGTTTAAAATCCTAGTTAAATAATTTCAACTAACATTTTATTGTTTCGCTCACTGTTCTTACATTTTGCACATTTTTAATAAAAGTTAAATTTATGTGTAAATATTAAATCCTAAATCTAAATGTAAAAAAAATCTTAAATGTTGCATATGAATAATGAAACTTACATTTATGAATTTCAGAATGGAAGACACCCTTTGTCGTTGGTGCACAACTTTTGTTGTGATGTCATCATCCTGCGACAAAAACAACCCCTAATGCTGCTAATGCTGCTGAACGATCCTTAAGATGGTATTTTGAAATTTTAATTTGAACATTTGAACATTGAAAACAATATAGATGGTAACCTACCTGTGGTCCGGCACTTTGACGTCCAGGTCGGACGTCGGCCAACTGCAAGTTT